TTTGTTTTTTCGAAGAACTTTATTAGATATCACTTAAAGCACTTCTACTCACTAATGCAGTGATGTACACAAATCGCTGGAAATGTACATATTAAAGACGTGAGAAATACTTCAAAAAAATTACATTTGTGTAATTTTTGAAAGAAAAAGAAACAACAACAAAATACAGCAAAATTAATTTTATGTCATCTTAAAGAGTGCAATTAATACAAGCCACACAAAATGTTTGAAGAAAAAATTTGGACCAGTTTTTGAAGAAATTAAGTTCAAGCACTTCTGAAAATACAAAATTTTGGGCTCATTTTAACAGAAAATTTTTAAGTTTTCAAGAAACTTTATAAGATATCATTTGTAGTACATGTACTCATAAATTCACTGCTATTGTAAGTATTAACAACGCGAGAGAAGTCAAAAAATTACAGTTTTGTAATTTTTGAAAAAGCAAAAAGCAAAAAGCAAAAAGAGAAATATGGCGTTTACATCATCTTATAGGATACCATATTTAGCACTATTCCTACCAAAAGTTTAAAGACAAATTGAAGCTGTTCTCGAGAAAGTCTTGTTTTTATTGTTGTGTTGATATTTTTAATTGCTCACATTGAACGCAAAATTGCACCAAAGTTACTAAACTTTTTAAAAAATGTACATGGTCTCATGAAAGAACTATAGAAAAAAATCCTTTAAGGAAAAACTTCTTTCTTCAATTTTGTAGCTGTAAGAAGAAACTGAAAAAATTCGCACTTTTACAAGAAAAATGTTTGAAAATACAGAGTAAACTGTGAGAAACAGGCAAAAGATTTAAAGAAAAAATTTTCAACACGCCCGTGGATCTTCCTCTAACGTATCTCACAATTGTAAAGAATACACTTTTCAAAATCGCAAAGCTTTCAATCAATCCAGATCGACTGGGGAATATCCATTTTGGAAAAAAATCCCACGTATGTGTTGGACCACAGCTGTCCAACCGGCGAGCCACAGATGCACGGGGCCCACAATACCATTTATTGTCGCCCCCGAATGGGTATTAGTAAAAAGTGAGTGTCTTGCATCCTTGTTGAGAGAGAACATTGAGCATCTAGGGCACGTGCCCTGCTGAGGTTAACACCCCCTTAATGTAAAAGCAAGTTAAGTTGCGATTAGATTCAGTTTCAAAATAAACCCAATATATTTCATTGCGTTTTGCATGGTAAGATCTGATATCATGCATGGTTCCATCCCCACCCCCCCTTTCCAAAACAGCCTGGCAAACAGCTGAGTTAAACAATACGGGAAAGTCAGCTGTGGATCGCTGAAAATATGGCCGCAACCATATTAAAGGTTTTAGTTGTGGCTCTTGAAGCCGTTTAAGTTGGACTCCCTTGGTTTAGGTGCAAGTAGGGTTCAGACGGAGGATCGTTTTGGGAAAAAACACCTTTTTGGTATCAGGGGACCCCAAAAGTGCATTTCCGTTGAAATATCAATATCGGTTTTCTGCAGCATTACATAACTTTCTCTGTACCACGTATATTACTCCGTATTAATGTAAGCAAAGGGCAAAAATGGGGAAGGTACGATCGAATGTGGTCAGTTACCTATTTGCTAATCAGGCAAAAAAGAATCATCTGGAATTGATTAGAGAAACCATGAAAACTACAAATTGGAGCAGCCAGCCAGTAGAATTCTCCTCTTGACACAGCTGCTGAATTGACCTAACAATCTAGGTGGTATTGAAAATCTCCCATTACAAGGATTCAAACCCTAAGATTTCATCAGGAACACTGCAGACAGACTTTTTTCCAGAGTGGCAATCCCCAGATTTTTTCTCATAAATTAACATTTTAAGTTCACATCTTTAATTTCACAGGCAGGATTGTCTCTCAATATTTCTTTTGAAGTGAAACCTTTATCACATCTTCAAACTTTACAGTTTGCTCACTTTAAAAATGAAGTTTATAAATGTGTATCTTCTATCACAGTTGTGAAGAATGAAGCGTTCATACAGATCATTCCTTTCTGAAATTAATTGCTTACTTATTAGTTCCAGAATGTTTTCAATGTTAGTTTGTTCCTTTCACACTTTCAGTACATTTGAATATTAATTTTGCCTCCAATTTCTGATAAACAATTTAATTTTCCTTGGTTTTGGTTCTGCGTTTCGTTTACCCTTCCTTTTGCATTGCAGTCTGTAAACCTACCAAAACCCTATTTCAAAAACTGAAAACTTATCATAAATGCTCACTGTGTGATATCGTCTACGAATAGAGTTGTGAAGAAAGTGTTGAATTAATAATGTGCTTTAGCAATAATTAGAAGCACTATAGCATGTAACAGCACTTTTATCTGTTTGGTAATGAAGCAATAGTGCAAATAGCTGTTCAGTTTATAACTTCAGGTGTTACACAATTTCCCAATTGACTTGAAAACATACTGTAAATCTTCTAGATTATTGCACATGTTTTTTGATCAAGTCAGGTTTCCTGAATCATGCAAAAACATCTGACCTAAAAACCCACCAACAAATTCTGATCTACATCAATCTGTTATTTAATATTTATTTACACCAAAAACAGTTAAAAACTGTGTGTGATGTGCTATGGGGAGAAGTCAATTTGAAGTTACATTTATGTCCAGAAACGAAACAAGGATCCATCTCAGCATTTGTTCATGGATCAGGGAAACTGGACGAAAACCTGATCGAGATGGGGATCATTGACCCAGAAGCTGAAGTACAATACCTGTTACAGGTTCTTTAGAATTATACAATCCAAATGGTAAATACTACACTAAATGTCGTTATCAGGCCAGGCATTGTAAAATAATGTACATGTATTGTATGTGAATTTTTTGAAGTGAGCTGTTGATACAGTCACCTGGTGAATATGAATACTACGTTGAGTGTTGTAGTTATAGGCATCAGCATTTGCTGAAAATATATTCCCACCCATACCTAGATTATTAGAGGCTTACAAGAATCACGTGGGTGGGACTTGCTTACTATTCCTACAATAAATTTTTGTAATCTAAAAGTCTGGGAGCTGTAAGATGTATTTTCCAAGAATATTATGCCATATGTCAGGTGAGAATGAACATTCGTGAGCCCAACGAGCAGTACGAAGGCTGACTGAATTTGAAAGACTTCTGAAAGCGTAGCATAAAGAACTTAATTTAATGTTCAATTCATTTAAATGGGAGTTCCATTTAAGATTTGACTGAATTGAAAGACCTAAAAATGTTGTTACTTTATAGTCAGTCAATAGCATACTGTTCATTTTCAATGGAGTACAGATCTGTTCATTTGAAATGGAAAACTGCATAGAAACAGTTCTCTTTTCATTTACTATTAATTTGTTATTATGGAACCAATTTGAAATATCGATATTGTACTATTTACGGTTTCTTTATTGCAAAGAATATTCAGATCGTCTGTAAAGAGAACTGCTCTTCTGTTTCTAATTGTTGAGGGCATATTGTTTACATATAGTAGGAATAAGGCCTAAAATTGATCCCTGCAGGACTCCACAAGCTATTGGCAGAGAATCAGAAAGGTATGTACATAATGTTCCATTACTCCAGTAAGGTATTTCTACTCTCTGAGTTAATTGTTTAAGGTACGAGCATATCCAATCTAGAGCAAGGCCACGGATTTTAACTTGTGGTAGTACTGTGTTTGTGTTGGGGTTTGTTTTCATCTCTCTTCATGTTATCTATTTAAGTCTTCTGACAACATGTTTCATTAGTTCTTGAAATAAATGTAACACACACTTGTGTAGCACAAAACAGATTTATTACACACATGTTTAGCAGATCACAACTTAAAACCATGCGTAATCTTTTTAAATATTTGATCATTCTACGTAGGTACAGATATTCATAATACAACAGAAGGAACCAAGGTGTAAGATATTTACTGAAATATATTACATTGAAAAACTGATGATCTCTTTCACACCTCCCAAAATGTTCTGCAGAACTATTCAAAGAATTCTCAGCTTTAAAATAAATTTAAAAATGAAGGCTTTTTGTGACGATGATGACCTTATTTGTAATAGCTTAGAAAATAAATGTTCCCAACAAAACAAAGCATAGAGAAAATTCATGTACCTTGGGCTAACAGTAGTTACAAATAAGCAGAGATTGAAAAAATTTCATTTTGAGTGTTAGAGGTGTCTGTGAAAACTGTCACTTTCATTTGTAAATTATTTTACTGTATTTTTGCATTTTTATTTTTAATTTAAAGACATTTAATGGAAAACATTTCACAATGTCAGAAGGGAAACGTGCAACATTAGCAAGATTATGTTCTAAGAAATGTGAAGTGAAGCTAAATTTTATGAAAGTACTATAACCATTATAAATCTAAGTTTTTTGTGTAGCATTATTTATTTAAAGAACAAAATCAATACTATATTTTTATCCACTGATACAGACTTACCCCAAAAAGTTGGTAATTGAATCTTGGACCACTTCATTACCTTGGGCGACATTAAAACTAAAAGACACATACTTCAAAAATTAAGAATAATGAAAATACTTGGGTTTATAATTTAAGTACATAGAGTTTCTAGGTATCTAGTTCTTTAGATGATACATGTTTGAGCAGAAGAGCAATGCATAGGCCTTTTTAAGAAAATGAAAGCCCAGACTCATCAGAGATGAGCATCTAGACATGATACGAAAACGTCCGGTAAAATCAACAACCTATCAATTGCTGGCCCTCTTAATGGATAACATTCATTCACATGTGACTACATCACCACATTTGGTTGAGAAAAGTTCCCAAAAGCTAGATAATGAAAAATGAAGAAAGATGGCAAAATGAACATCCATCAAGAAAAATGTCAGCCGCTGCAGACAAAAACTAAACAAAGCCAAGAATGCACAGAAGAAAAGCATACCAGAGTTTGAATAAACAAGTTTATCATAATTCATAGCTAACCATCCAAAATACAACAATGGAAAGGAGTTAACATAATAAATTACATTGGTTACAATGAGCAATATTACATTACATGGAAACTCACCTAGGAGCAAAATGCACTGCTCTGCGGGCGCACTCTACAGCATTAGGAGCATTGCCTCTGATACGCCAATACACAGCTGCAAGGTTATGATGTAACCAAGATGTAGAATTTCTCTGTAAGCCCAATGCTACTTGATGGGCAAATTGAGCCATATCTTGGTCTTCCAAAACAAATGAAGCCAGGGATAACTCTGGACATGTAGAAAGGTTAGCACGTTTAACCATCACCTGAAATGTACATATGCTTCATCAAATTTCATTTTCTTTTCTTGGAGCAAAAGCTTTATATATTTCACAGAACACATCAAGAAAACCAAATACGTTTTATGACAACAGGGAAATAACATTTTCAGGTTAAGAAAATGAATGACAAAAGCTCGAGAGAAAGAGAGGCATATTTTGACAAGTTAGTTTTCATCTCTCTGTGAAAAACAATTACACGAGCTACATGAGTTCTTCAACAATATCTTCACACTGTTAGAAAGAACATACACATACTCATATTATTTTGCAAGTTCAAAATTACCTGCAAATGCTCAAAAGAAGTCATACTGAAATCCAAGTCAATCACTGCAGAGCAATCTGGAAGTTCGGGTACTCCACCTTCACAAGATACCAGATAATTTTCTAACCTACAATCAATATAGTGCATGGTCAAACAATTTAATAGTCTCAATAATTATTCTATAAACAGTTAAAAAATTACCATAATAACAATAACAACAATAATAATAATGATAAAAGTATTAAAAAACTTACTTGACACGCTCCCTAATGTCTCCAATGAGACTTATATACAAATCAGTATCTGCAAGAGTATGACCTGCTTTCAAACAATCTGGATCTTGAGAGTAGAGCCTCGATTCAAGATCTGCAGCACCTTCTAAAGTTCCCCACTGTTGATCAATGCTGGACTTGCGTGTCATTAATTCATTGTGCAATTCTTCGATTGCTTTAACCCTTTTTTCTTGTTCCAATAGGGACAATAAGTCGTAAGGTCGCCGCATATGGAACATAGAATCAAGCTTCCAAAAAGACAAATATCAGAAATAGACCTACAGTTCATTATAAACAAATATGTTTAAATCGAAACATATATGCATAGGATTCCTTGACTTTTTTACATTGAATTTGATTTATTGCAAACCGAGTTAAGCAAATTACTTTACAGGCAATTAATGTGTTGTAAATAAAATTAAAAGCATAGTAAAGGAGGGCATTTGCATGCGTATAAACGTACATGTTATATACAAACATTTTTTTAATTTCCAATTTTCTACTTACTTGTGACTGGATCCTTCCATTTTCTGTCACAACCCAATGAGTGGACGCGGATATTCCCAAAATTAATTGAAATAAAGCTATAAACAGTTTCCAAAACTCAAACTTAACCATCATTTTTCTTCTGTCATTTTCTACGCACGGGTGATGGTACACTTTTGTCTGTGCACATGAAGTGCGTCGCAGCATAGATGTTGCGCTGTTTCAAGCACGCATCACACCAAGATGTTATGGCACTCAAAGATTGCTTAGTTATATCGTGTTACTTTCGTTAACAGTTCACACATTTTCACTGCATTGCAAACTGGCATAGAGAGAAAATGCGACTTCCGTTTTGCATTGCTCGCTGGTTTACAAGCTGTCATTATCGTACGAGTTTTTTAACTTCGTATACCGGGCCTGGAACCTCTTTGGCATTACGTGTCATTTATCCATTCGCTAGATCAGCTGGTTCAGTTGCTGGAGTACTGTCGGTGACGATCTGTCACACAGGGCGAGCTTGCGGTGACCGCTCTCGAGTTAGAATTCCGTACAAGATAATACTTGCCAATAATTACGCATCCAGAACCATGACTGATAGTCAAGTACGTCAGAATTTTGAAAAAGAATGCGAAGATGGGATTAATCGACAAATTAACATGGAACTGTATGCGAGTTATGTGTATTTGTCAATGGTGGGCTTTAATTCTATCAATTCAAATGTGTGAAGTACCTGATTCTACTAATAACTTTCGTGTAATTTATTTCTTATCTGTGTAGGCTTACTACTTTGATAGAGATGATATTGCATTACCTGGTTTACACAGTTACTTCAAAAAGGCATCAAATGAAGAACGTGAGCATGCAATGAAATTAATGCTGTATTTAAATAAAAGAGGTGGCCGCATTGTGCTTACTAGTATTAATGCACCCGAAAGAAATGAATGGGGCACTGCAGAAGATGCAATGATGGCTGCGTTAGATTTAGAGAAAAAAGTCAATCATGTAAGACACTTATTTTCTATATTATACAGGTTGTCAATGCATTGTTGTAACAATATTGTCCTTTTGTTCTAGTCCCTTTTAAAGCTTCACAAAATTGCTACAATTCATGATGATGCAAACCTCTGTGATTTCCTGGAAGCCGAATACCTACAAGAACAAGTGGATTCAATTAAAGAAATTGCCAATCATTTAACTAATATTCGGCGTGTTGGAGAGGGTTTAGGAATTTTTATGTTCGATAAAGAATTACATTAATTATACTTTTGAGAATAAGCTCAAGCACCTAAAATGTGTTTAACATTTGCACAATATTTAATTTTTCAAATAGTACAAGCAATTTTAGTGTGTACTTGTTCAACAGTATTATTAAGTGTTGTAGGTATTTAATTTATGATCTCATGTATTTTGTTTGTTACAAAGGATATTGCATTGGTAGAATCATGTTAAATTATCATATCACATTTGTGGTCTGTATGGTGCTAACATTATTAGATTTTACTGTTACTGTATTTATTTTTGAAAGCTGATATAGAGATTAACATGTCAATTTGTAGAAAAATTGAAGTATAGGCTCACTACAAAGATATAATTTTCAAATTGGCATCAATATATCTTTGTAGTAGTGCGATGTAGTGTGGTTCCTGTGAACTTAGTAGGAAGAACAATACAATGATCTCAATTCTGAAAGACTTTTCCCTTGATGTATTTCTAACGTTATAACGTTCCAAGCTTAACCTTTTCAGCACCTAGTGCTTGTTACTTATCAGTATTATACTATATTGTGTTGAAATATTTATTCCACCTCGTTTTATCTGAATGCACAGTGAATACTAGTCATGTTTTTATTGAGTTTTGTGATTTATTTTACTGCATGAAAATTTATTTACAAAATAAAATGCATGATGAAAGAATGTTTGTATGATTTACAAAAAATGCCACTTTGCAAGTCCCTTAAAGAGACTTGTGAATCCTCTCATTCCTTTCCTAACAGCAAGGTGGATGACGAATGTGATTATTCATATATCATTACAAGGTAGATTTAGAATTAGACTTATTTAGTCAAAAAACAGTAAAACCTGTACGTGATGTTGGGGGGAAAAGATTATCAGCACATACTTTCTTCTTCCAGAATCCCTCCTGTCATTTTAACTATAAATATTTGAAAAATGAGAAAGTTTAACATAAATAAAAATAATTAAAAATCCCAAGATTAGCAACATTTGAAAAATAGTAATTTTAGTTTGAGTTATAGAAAACTTATTTGCATCGGTACACTAATTGCAAGTATGATTTTTCTGAATAGCTAACAAAATAGCAACTCGCCCTTACCTCTACTTTTTCCATTACAAGCAAAAGGAGAGTTCAATAAAACGTGCGCATGGTGAAGCTACATTTATGTCCAGAAGCAAAACAAGGGGCCATCTCAGCATTTGCTCAATGTATCAGGGAAACTGGACAAAACCTGATGAGATGGGGGTAAAGTAAAAGACATTCAGCTTTATTTCATTTGGGGGAACGTTTGTTTCGAAAAGCGTAGCAATAATAGGCATTTCTTAATTATATATTTTGTAGTAAATAGCATGTCCAAGCATTGCGCTTTTATAATCTCCGATCTCGTATGTCCTCAATGAACACACTCGGGGTTGAAAGAGAGCGCTGGTTCAACCATAGATGTGAATGCCAGTGATTGGTCTTCGTCTGTCAGGATCACGTTCTAGAAAACCAAACTGTCAGCAGGTGGAAGCTGCTTGGACCAACCAGAGTATATATCGCGACCAACTGAACCAAGCTTGAATGTTTTGAATTGGATTGCAAAGAGTATACTAAGGTTTATTAAGCCATGCACTTGACTAATTTCAGCTGTTTATAGTTTCATCCAATCGGGAGCATAAACGTCCCTATAGTGACATTAAAATCCCGGTTGGATGAAACAGCAACATAAGACTAACGTCAAGTGCACAACTAAACAAATCGTTGCAATATATATAGGACGAATATGGCCATGGCTGACAAGACTGCCGAGGTTAAAGCAAAAGAAGTTTCATCACATTATGCCCTTTTCATGGTGAATAAGGACAAGTACGGTTTCATTGATAGTATACTTTTATGCAATTGTAAAATTTCACGTGACTTTTTTTTTATTGAAGCAATGCGAATTTGTTTTATACATCTGTTTTATTATTTAGAATCAATGAGGAATCCGTCGGAGATGAAAATTCCACCCAAGAAGGAGAAATGGCTGGGTAAGATTTTATTAGTTAATGATTCTATTTCGAATGTTCAACGTAACGAAAACAACGGGCGTTAAATTTCAGCCTACAGGTAATATGCTCAACATTGTCTTCCCAGCAAGAAAACCTACTTAGATTGTTTTTGGTGCGACGCCTGAAAAAGGGTGCCATATATACCAGCACTGGAGCTTTCTCAGGGATGGAGTTCAGGTAGCTAATCTGTCGTTTCTCAAAAAATATTTATTTTGTCCAGGAAATTTCATTTTTCCCCCTTTTATAGTATTGGAGGCAACTCACCTGCAGTCTGTTACTATGTTTTACTGCCAAGTCAAGCACTAGTGTGTTTGTTGGCTGTGGCCGAAGCTAACCTTGAGGTATTTCGTCCAGAATTGGCCAGATTCTGCGAAAAGCTGGAACCTCATATAAAGGTCTGATGGCTTTGAATAATATTTATATTGAAAAAATAAGGGAAGAAATGGATCGTACATTGTAACCACAGGAATTCTAGGAGCAGTCAGCAAGTGATCTCCTGTCAAAATGGCATGTTAAGTGCGTACAGTACGTTGGACACATTCTGGAAGAACTAGGTCCAGATATTGCAGCTCTCCTACAGCTGGTATGTAGTACTATTCATATATTAAATCTGTTGTACCAAACTACTTTGAGCTTGACATGAGTCATATGAAGACAGTAGTTCTCTAGTGTTATGCAATACCAGCTGCTTTTCTAGTGATGTAATTTACCCTCTTTGCCACAAACTGAATTAATAAATGAAGACTGTAAAGCAAACAAGTGAATGTATCCCGTATTTGTGACACCCAAAATCTAAATGTCACCTCATTAAAAGTATCCAGACAGTATTGGACTGAAAAATAAATAGTATAGGAATGGATGTTGGTATTAACCATACAAGCGCATGCAGCCAAAGCCCATCTGTCAATCTCAAAGAACTTCGTATATTACTCCGCAGCTTCCCCTTTGAATTGTACTATTATGTTTAGGTGCAACAGAATGGTGGAATTAAGGTGGAAGGAAAGGTGCCAGCATCTGTAGAAGCAGATATACAACAGTTTCTAATGGCTTGTTCAGTGTCTGAATGCTTAGTGGGAGCTCCACCAGGTGTGGAAGCTATTGTGCATATGAGACCTGGAGCTACAAGAAAAGTGTGTGTCATGGGTGTTCAAGCAAATGCATATTGTACAGATTGGGCTCGCCTGTTACTGGAATTAGGGCCTTCTGCAGAACCTTGGAGGTTACGAAAATTATTAGAAGCATTCAAGCTGAAGGTAATTTTTACACAATTCTGAATTGTTTTAAAATAAGTAGTCTTATTTTGTTAAGTAAAGTACACTATTTTTGTTCACTTATTTTTCTTTCAGACCATCAAAGACATGAATATACTAAAAAGACTTCTCAAACAGGCTGAAACTGATCATTACTTCCTTTATAGGTATGTTTAAAATAAGTTTTGTAGTTATATTTCACGTTATTTTATCTCATTGGATTTTTACTTTACCGTTTCAGAGCCTATGCATTTTTATGGCAATCTGGTAACAGTGATATTTTGCTACGACAAGCTGCACTGGAAGGCTCTTCCTCCCCTGATGTGTTATCAGTTCTGGAGGAACATTTGTCTGGGTGTGGATCATCTCCAATTCCAGTTACTACTCGTGTATGAAAACTACTGAATATTTTTCGTATTCCACTGCAGCACAAACAAGTCATTGCTGAAGGTGGTTAAGTTTGAAGATTAATTTTGATTGTAGGTTTGAAAGTTCCAGCTAGTGGTGGTCTTGTAGAATACCTCATGTCTTCCATCATTTTGTTAGAAAATCTTCCAATGTTAAATTCTGTCAAATATTTATCAATTCATTTGTACACAATGCATTAATAAATTGTTTTTGAAAATTATACTGTATATATCATTAAAAACTAATGGAGGAAAATAGGAATCTTACAAAAGATTTAATACAGATACAACAGTTATGTATTGTTTCTACATCTACATCCATGTGATAATCACATTAGGTAGGGAAGAAACATTTTGTGCCTAATCAGCCAACTGCTATACTCTTTTTCATGTAAATGATTTACTCTTAACTAACGTACTTTCTCTGGCACTCTTAAAAGATACACACACTTGTACGTTAAAGCACACTTAAAAATATTCATATTAACAATTGATAATGCACACTAGAATCCTCAGTCTTTGTATGATCAGGAAGTTAATATGATTCATTACATATTGCAGCTTCACCTAAGACTATGTCATCAATACCACAGGTCTGTGAATCCACTTGAAGCTTCGTTTCCCCCAAGAAAAATAGAGTTTTGAGTCATGTATAAAATCTACTCATAATCCAGTGAGTTTTTACAAACCTTATAAATATAATTCACATGACCTGTTTTATTGAGACACATGACAAAAGCAAGGCACGCCTCAATGCATCACCCATGCAACAATCTCAGCCAAGATTTATAATACCTGGACTTGTCTCGTTTTCCAGTCTATCACAGAGCCATCTTCAGACATCGTTGCTTGCATTAGTTAAAAACAAAACACAGCACAACATCCGCACAGCGGAATCATGTTCATTGATCAAAACAAACTGATCCTGCAGATTACTGGAATGTTCAATGTCATGGTCTAAGTTCACAACCTTTAACTAACACTATGCATTACAACCACTGACAATAACTAACACTAGGTACACAATGCTGTAATATATTATTCTACAGCAAACTTTCTTATCTTTGGCTTATCTTCCAACATTAAGAGTTAGTGAGCAAAAAGAAATTTAAAAAAAGAAAAAAAAAAAATCTAATGCTTCACCCAAACGTCCTACCCCAAAACTTAACACGAAATAATCTTAACACAAGATATTGCTCTTAAAGGACATATGGCAACATTTTGTGCATTATATACTCGCTGAAAGAATAAATTACGTCGCTGTATACACTTTACAAATGTACAAGAACCTGCCTCCCTATGAGTTTCTGAGTCTTGGGTCTTCTCATCACATGATCAGGGAGATAGAAAAATAATGGAAAAATTATAGTGACAATTTGAGTTGTGTTCATTCACTCTAGTTTTAGCCGTTTACTATACTCCTCTTGTTGTGCTTCTTTCCATTCTTTCTTTGCCTTCATCCTCTTCAATTGCCCATCCCTAAAGAGGCAGTGGAACAAATTAGTCTTAGGTATACAACTAAACAAGAGTTATTCACAAATATATTGAAATTTTTTTTTTCTTCTTCTTATGAATGTTTATATTACTGTTAATACTAACTAGTTGATTTTGAATTCAGGACCTTTAGTTGTTTTTTCTGTATATCTGATTTATTTAATTAATTATTACAAGTAGGCAATGTTTTGGCATTTTTTAGCTTACTTCATCTGACTGGTTTAATGCTGAATCAAACTAAATACAATGGTAGAATCAAATTCTTTCACTGAAATTGATGTCAAATTTCTGTTGCAAATTAACAATAATAATCAAAATTAATTTGTGAGTACTCGATGTAATGAATGTCTCATTCTCTCTTATCTCAGTTGATTTTACCCACTGTTTCTCTTCATTCTGTTTTTCTTCTTCCTCCTTCCCTTCCTTGACGGTTAATCTACATTTACTTGTAAGTGACTCCAGTTATTTCACAGAGATGAGTTAACAGACAGAAACAGCTTGAATTATGCACACTTCTCAGAACGATCCAAGTTAATGTATATATTGTAAATATTTTTTTATTCTAGTTTTAAAATTACTGCATTATAACTTAATTTCTAATAAGGTAAGCTTGTGTCTACTTATACTAAAATACAATAAATGTAATGTAAGTTTCTAAATTGTACTGATTTTTGATCTTTAGTTAAAAGTAGTTTAAAATAACTTCTGAATATCATCCAATGTTTTAATTTAAATCTTATTTTGCTCTTTAAACCAGGGTCCTGAAAATGGCTAAAAAATGTTAGCTGAAACATTGCCAACTTATTACAATTAATTGAAAAAATAAATCACAGTTGTATACAAAAAAAAAAAAACTCTTTAATTAAAAAAAGGATCTAGTTCACAGTTTCTCTTTCCCAAGCAAATACTACTTACCACATGAGATCAACGAGCCCTCCTTGTCGAGCAATGCAACTTTTTACTCTATTTGCAAAGTCAATTGCAGTCTCTCCTTCCTTCTGATACATGGGAGGGAGATACCATACGTCACAAACAATTGCCCAACTTGTCATCATCATATACAGATACTGCATCATAGAGAAACGACTGGAATTCCAAAATGCATCTCCAAACTTTGGATCATACTGGAAAGAGAAGGTAGTACAAAAACATTTAACATCAAACTTTGTGCAATTTAACTGAGCTTTAACAAAATCTGGGAACAATGTTTTCAAGCCTTTCTCAGGCAGCTTAATTTACAGACTGAAATTGAGAAATTTTTTAACGATCTTCATGTTTCCACGCTATCCATATTTTAAAAGGCAGACATCATTCTTTTTATTTTATACATAAATACACAAATACCTACCTTTATGGCAACAGGGTAGATAACCCCACCAACTTCAAAACTGCCTTTCTTGAACTGCATCACTGAGGTGTTGTTTATACATGTTCCTTCAGGGAAAATTAAGATGGGAGGATTCTTTGGATCAGACACATGTTGCCGCAATCTAGAATAAAAATACTTTTATACTAAAAAAAAAAAAAAAAAAAAAAAAAAAAAAAAAAAAAAAAAAAAAAAAAAAAAAAAAAAAATCTTGCAAAGATTTATTTCCAAAGAAGATAAATGGTTGTCAGAAACTCATTTTCAAACAACTTCAGAACTCAGAATATATTTTTTCTACTTTTTTTATACTCATTTCCTACAATTACTTGTATATCAAGTATGAATTAATAATATCCATTTCAAATGTTTAAGCTAACAATATTAAAGAAACTTTTCAAAATTTCATTATAAGGTGAAACAAAGCCATCCTTAATCCTCTGCAGATGATAAAAAAAAATTTCAAGTTAATAGGAGGTGAAAATTACCTTTCTGAATCTACACTTTAAATTGTAGTTAGGATAATTAAAAAAAAAAAAACAACACCCACTATCTCAACAGTCGGTACATGGAAATGGCAAGGAAAAACAACAACAACAAAAAAGTTTGCTGAAAGATCATTGACAAATGGAAACAACCTAATAAGAGTTATTGTTTGGAAGAAGTACAAATTTTTCTAATGCTTGAACCATGATAATGCCTACAAACTTAACCAACATTCACAAAAATATTCCTAAAACATTGATGTATAAAGTATCCTATGAGCGCAATTGGTTCACTTCACACTGCATCCTATTTACAATCTAACCTTGGAAGAAACACATTAAATGCTATTTGCTGCTATTTTGAAAACTGTTCTATATTAATACACACACATACATTAATGTTTTTAACACTACAAGGTGTTATTAAAAATTGTAATGAAAACTTGATCTTCATCGCCCGAAGAAGATGAAAATGAATTGCAAAAAGAATTCTGCAATATATACCTTTTAGCCACAGCTTCACGATCCTTTACTTCTGATCGTTCAAACCATATATGTGGAGATGCTCGTGCAAGAGCTCTTTGAAGTACTCCCAGGAAACCTCCATGCCGCTGACCGATCTGCATAACAAAATTATTCTTTCACTTTAGCTACTTAAGTTGTGAGAATAATGCCTAATACAACTTTATCTATGAACTATGGAAGGTTCACGTTTATTTTAATGGGTACCCTGAATAAGTAATCTGTGACGTCAAAGTGGTAACACTTTTAAGGGCTCCCATGCTTTGGCAATATAATCACAGGTTTTTAATAACTGGAATAGAATATTTCAAATTGGGGTGATACATGGGGATTGGCATTTTATTTGCAGCATTAAAAAAAAATGAATCACACTTGTTTCAGATCATTGAATTAGATAGAGAAAACAGGTTCTGAAAATTAAAACCTATTACCTCATACTACAAATTGGTAAGTGGGGATAATGGTTTCACCCCCAATCCATGCCCGGGCAGTGAAAGAATGAAGCTGGAAACTAAAATGTTTTATTCGCAAAGGGGAGATGAAAACAACTCAATGTGAACTATAAATTCAGAATTCTTCTGATTTCTGATATCTTCCCCCCCAAAAAAATTAGAAAATAAAAAAAGCCCTTTTTAAACAGATTTTTTGAAGAAAAGTATGTTTTCTTGTTCACTCTCTCCTCTCTTCCATCTTCCTTCTTTCTTTTATTTTAACCTCTCTTCTAATCACTTAAATGAATGAGCATTCAGCTTTAATGAAATTCCATCCTATAAAAATTTGATTTGATTTATTTTTCCAAAAAAAAGTACAAACTGTATGCAATGCATGGGGGAGAAATAAAATACGTGCAGGTTTTCTTGAACTCCAGAATCTCTTTCTCTATTACTGTACGTAGTTCAAAGATGAATAAAAGTACCACTAATATGATGTTAGCAGCCTATGTAAACTAGAAATTCTCACTCCAGAGCTATAAAAATTTATTTTAAATGAACTACAGCTCTGATTTTACAACATGCATCATAAAAGTCACACTGCACCAAGCCTTGCGGAGCCAGGGCCTCCTATTATAAATTGCATTTAGGTTTGTAGCAAACAGATCATTTGGAAACAAGTGAAGGAGACAACACTTCCAGAATTTGTTGTGATAATGGTGAGTATGAAATATATGTTTTCTTCTGTTGCAAGCCGCAGCTTGTGCTACCAACATTTCTATTGCTATAGCACTCTTACCAGGAAAGAGGCCACTGCAAGACTCCTGGTGCACTGTAGAACTGTTTAAAAAAAAAAAATCCACATCCCCAACTCTACTCTTAACACAACTACCATAAGGAGAGCTCAAACAAATTCGCAAAATGAAGCTATACTAATGTCTAGAAGCAAAAGAAGGGGCCATCTCAGCATCGGATCACGGAAACTGGACAAAAATCATATTTGAGATGGGGTTACTGAGCCAGGAGCTGAATTACATTACTTCTTACAAGCATATTTGGTTCTTCTGACATTACAGAGTACAAATGTTGACTAATTCATTAAAAATCATTGTGAAAATAAACAATATTTTTATTATAAAGGAGCTACTAACTTTTAGATGATCAGGCCACACCTCTCGCACAAAAAGAGAAACTTTTAATCAATGGTACTATTTAATCACACTGTAGAATTTGCCGCCACACAGAACCCCAAAATATAAAATTTAATAAATTATATTCCTTTAAGCAATAGAACCTACACAAATTTGCAAATTTTCAATTGCATTTTAGCACTTTTAACTCTCTTATTTATCCTATAACATCATCAGTTTCATGTAACAAATTTAAGATAAAAGTAAAATATTTTCTGCTGCGTAACTGTTTCTATTCAATTAGACTATACTGATTATCAAAAAGAAAAATAGTGTTTATTTTAACAAAACAGTGATGTATAATGAATTAGTTTACATTTGTATTGTATACATTTTTTAAAAAGACTTAATATGTTTGTAACAAATAATGTACTTTAGCTTCCGGGTCAATGACCCCCACCTCTATCAGAATTTTGTCCAGTTTCACTGATCCATTGAGCACATGCTGAGATGGCCCCTTGTTTTGCTTTTGGACGTAAATGTAGCTTCACTATGCACACGTTTTGTTGAACTGTTCATTTTGCTTGTAATGCTTGTAAAAAATAAGAGCGAGTTACTATTTTGTTAGCAATGCAGAAAAATCATACTTGCAATTATTTTATCAATGCAAATAAGTTTCCTATAATTTTGAAATGAAAATGTCTATTTTTTCCAAATTTTGCTAATCTTGCGATTTTTAAAATTTATTTTTATTTATTTATGTTAAACTTTTACTCATCTTTCCACTATTTATATAGTTAAAGCGATGGGACGAGATTCTGGAGCTCAAGAAAACATGCACAGATAAGCTCCCCCCCCCCCATACGTTACAGAGTTTTTTGGCTAAATAAATCTAAATCTACGTACATGAAGGCAAAAATGAATATCAAGATTTTTAATAATTATTTGCTCAATTCAAATTATAATGAATGCTCTATTAATTATACTATCTACTATTAATGCTTAATCCTAAATACAAATTATTATGAATTTATCACTGTTAGTGGAAAACGGTCAGGATGGGGGTGAAGAAATTGGGGGGAATTAACTGCAAACTAGTGTTGAACAAATGTTCCAGTATTCATATCCTAACTTAGCATTGCATGAAAATTTCTATCTCAGAGGGATATTATAAATAAATGATTTCTAACTTTTTTTTACAAATTTAACAAAAAAAGAAATTAACAAAAATGTTATAAATGTACATAATAATTCAAAAAATTAAGTTTCAACTCCTAGACTCACTTTAGACGTGCATTTCATAACATATAGACTCATATCTTTAACAACAAGTCCATAAATTAATTTTCAGGTCTCTGAACAACTTTGTCAATTTTGTGTAATTATAATCAGAAAATACACATACACACACTCACAGAACTTTATTTATACTCATTAATGCCACAAACAACTTTATACGACAACAAAAGCGTTAGTTTCAACACTTATACACATTTAGTTAAAACTATAGTAACCTTTATTTTAAAAAATGGAGGCACATTTTGTGTGTGTTTGACTCCAAATTTCAAATAATCTCAAATGGTTGTCATAGAAACCCTTTAAGTTTTAAACGACACTCATTTACCAGTTACCCCAGTAAGTTGATTATTCAACCAGAACTACCTCTGCTCAGTTAATCAATCATGCAAAACCAGTTATAATATGGTTTTTATTTATGGTTTTCTTAAACATACTTCATTCATATGCCTTAAAATTATTAGATTAGCACATGCCACAGGTTAACAACATACCAATGCATAGCAGTTATCGCAGGCAAGAACCAGAACATCAATGGGAGATGTGTGATTAGCCACACAAATGCCATTCTTGGGTCGGTTCTCTGGGTTATGATATGTAATGACAGATGACAGAGCACTTGACAGTATACCAAAACACATAATATTCACTCTATAATTCAGCCATCTTTTAAACTGCCCCTCTGGCACATATCCCACAATTCCTGTGCAGAAGGTCAACCACATAACCTGAAACAAGCATTGCCCCACAGGCTACGCTACAGACAGCACCAGAACAACACAATAGCAAATACAAAACCACAGCACCACATTAACATATTTTGCAGGAAATTGTTAGCCATGACCTACAATAACGCAGATAACAACATTAAGACAGACCAACAGAATCCAGATAAACATGACCTCAACAATATTGTCATCACAAATCGCATTACTCTTCACCAAAGCTAGAGTTAAAAATCATGCTGACCATTCTCTCGGCTCCTGAAATTAAAAAAGGTGGGGTATAACAATACAAAAAGCCAATATCTGAATTCATTCATGAAACAATCCACAGTGACAAGTCCAACGAAGCTAGATCGCCCCTCGACCAGCAGAGATGCATCATGAACTCACCAAAGAGAAACAAGATTCTGTAGAAACAGTGATAATATCAATGGGAGAGGTGTGGTTGGCCACACACACACCACCTTTGTCAGGGCGGTACTGAGTGTCATGGTAAGTGAGGACCATGGAAAGGCAACGGGCAAGGATGCGAAAGGTAATTATGAATGCTCGTTTGTGCAGCCAACGTTTTAGTGACGAAGGTGGCAGGAAACCCAGTACAGCCATGGAGAGCACAGCCCAGGCCACCTGCAGAAAGTATAAGGCTCAGTTCTATCAAAAGAGAAATGTTTAGAATAATTTCCATTACAAAAAATCATTTACAGAGTCGTTTTTCTGTTATCAGCATTGCGAGGATTCATGATCACCCAGTTTTCATCATATTCCTGAGAAATTATAGAAAACACTTTTAGAAAATGAGTGTTTGGGTTTGGTCCACCAGAGTTGCATAGCATAGTTAGTGCTAAAAATTAAACCTTTACTTGACATTTTCTTTCTTATTGAATCCAATTGAAAATATAATTTTCCTTGGACTGGAGATGCTCAGTTAAGTTTCAGAGAACCTTTAAAACAAACACAGACCTTCCTAAAAACTATTAGAGTTCCTCTTTAACATTTTTATTCTTGATTCTGAAAAGCAATTACAAATGACTGATAATTCATCAGTAGTTTTAATATTTACTTTCAGGTTATAATTTCACTACACACTTTTTATTGCAAGACATACAGAACAATACAGCTAGAACATTTCAATTACTTAAATCAGTAACAAGAAAAAGGCTGTACAGGATGCCCCAGACCAGGTGGGGGGAAAAATCCTTTAAAATAACAATGCACACATTTGTGTAATCATTGTTTTGTCAAATGTCTATTACAGTATGCGTTACTTGTATCTTTTATGACAAATGATCAGAAATATTTAAGTGATTGTCACTTCCATAAAAAAAAACATTTCTTGTATTTTTCTTCCAACTGTCAATAAAAATAAAACACACATTGAAACACTGAGTACTGAGTTTTGGATACTGAAAAGGTTTAGGATATTCGAGGCCCAACCTTTTATAAATAATTGAAAATTGATGATAAATGAACTAGTGGTCATTTAATGAAGGACCTTACTTGCATTCTCTTACTCAAGTGAAACGCCAACATTCCCTGTTGTCCTGTACATCGACATGGCACATACAAAGACAAAATAATTAAAACTAAAAAGCATTTCATTGTAAAAAGCATTGTAAACTACAGATGAGAAAGAAATATTATTATGATGTGTGATTAAATTAAAATGAACAGTGAGAATAATAAGAATCATCTGAAGCACTCGTTCTCACAAAAGCAATACTAAATTTAATTGAATAAATAAAAACACTTATCTAATAAAAATCAAGATTTGTTTGCATTTACTGTGCTGCTGTACCGTTCATACGATGGCGATGAAACTTTAGTACAATGGGAATGAGAGTACGTCTGTCGCACATAGGCGCGCCTTGATGATTTTATTTTTTTTTTTTTTTTTTTTTTTTTTTTTTTTTTTTTTTTTTTTTTTTTTTTTTTTTTTTTTTGCTGACCCAAGCCCCCTGAGCAAAAGTTCTACGCAACCCAGCGCACCCTCAAGTATTAAATACGTATTCTGCCCCGATTGTGAAATATCAGCCGAAATTATTACTTGAACGTTGTCTCGGACACGTAAATAAAATTTCTTGACGACAGTATAATGGTGTAACAAATGCATGCTCCAACTTGAGGGAGAACGTTTTAACAATAGGATGCTTGGCAACCTTGTCCAAACCAGGACATAAAACTCATACTCGCGAGAAAATCATTTATTAAAACGTCATTAACAATCATGTTAACAGTAGTATATGAAGTGTATTTCATTCCAATAGCGAAGCATTGCTGGGTCCGCTAGTTGTAAATAATAACGACGTGAGATATTTAAAAAAATTAATCTATGTAATTTTTGCGAAATCAAATAAATACCTCAAGCTTATGTTATTCAGTGCATTTAAGACTGTCTATAGAAAAGGTTCAAAGAAAACATTGAGCTGTTTTTGAGAAAATCTTTTTAACATTACCATATTTCTCTCAAAACTGTGAAAACCACCCTTGCGTTGAAAACAAGGAACACGACATTAAATAAAGAACTAATTGTGACGAATAAATTTCATTTGAAGACAAAAAAAAATATCTTTGATATTGTATAAGTAGGAAGGCACCGAAAACATATTCAAACATTTTCTGTTTCCGAAAATCACAGTGATACAGTGATACATACGTCATCTTTTTTCGTGAATTTCTCTATATTCTTACAATTTTTTTAATCGAAGTTATTTTTGAGGAAATTTCAAAAATGTCCCAGGGGTTTCATCCAAAATGTACGTTGTTATTGTTGACGGACGGACGGACGTTTTGAAAAAAAACACTTTTTCGGTATCAGGGTAACCTAAACTTTGTCTACACTACGTATATTACACCGAATATACGTAGTAGGTGTACGAGACAGTAAAAGCACATATATTTTCAGGAAATCCCTTCACTCTGGGATTGATGGAAACAGGTGATAACTTACCAAAAAGGAAACCTTAATATTAACACACAAATGCAAATTATTCGTCCACAGTGTGCACAGAAACTCTAGGACGGACAAGAAATGAGGCGTTGTCCTCTTAACGCTCGGGCCCAAAGGGCCAGGACCCCTGATAGTTCTTTAAAAATAATAATAATAATAATAATAATAATAATAATAATAATAATAATAATAAAATAAAAACTATATTTAAAAAAATTAAACTACAGAATGGCACAGATTTTGCCGTATTAGTTTTCTATTTCCTTTCGTCTCCGCTAGCTTTCCGAACTTACCACATACTCTAGCCTGCTGCCGTCTATCGCCGCCAAAAGTACATTTTTAAAATTTCTTTATTTTTGTTTCTTGATAATAAAATTGAAATATTTTAAGAAAATTAAAGAAAAGTGAAACCACTGTCCTAAATGGAAATTTTCTTTGAAAAATTTGGAGTGGTTTTAACAAAATGGCGCTCAAACGCTACAGTAAATTCTAAATTTGGAGCACTTTTTTACATAACAATTTTGAGTTTTCGAACAACTTTATTTGCTATAATTTGAAGCACTTTATCTCACAAATACAATAGTGTTTACAATTTGCTAAAAATGTGAATATTACCGGGGTGAGAGATCTTTCAAAACTATTACGTTTGTGTGATTTTTGAAAAAACAAAAAATATCCCAAAATTAACTTTATTTCATATTAAAGAGTGGAATTAACACTATCCTTTCGAAACGTTTAAAGAAAAAATTTGGAATAGTTTTTGAAGAAATTGCGTTTGAGAGTTTCTGAAAATGGGAAATTTTTAGCTAGGTTTGATAGGGAACTGTTGAGTTAGCTTTACATGACTTTATTTAAAGCACATGCACTCACAAATACATTAATGTGAACAAATTGCCGCTAATGTAAATACTAAGCACGTGAGAGAAGTGAAAAAAAATACAAGTTTGTAATTTTTGAAAAAATATAAGTATAGAGCAATATGGCCTTTAAGCCATTTCATAGAGTGAATTTAGCACAATCCTCCAAGAAAAAATTTGGGACCTTTTTTGAGAAAATTGTATTTTTGTATTTTTTTTTAAATTGCACGCAATATTGCCAGAAAACTACCAAAATTTTCAAAAAAATGTACATGATCTTAATGAAAGAACAAATTATGGACAACGAATTTTATTTCAAGTAAAATTTTCTGTTTTTAATTTTGTAGTCGTAGGTAAACACCGAAAATATTCTAACTTTTGAAATTTTTGAAAATTCAGAATTAACCGTGAAAATTCGACTCCTTCATAAGACTATTTTACTCTATATTTACAAGAAATTTAAAGTAAAAAAATTGAGCTGTTTTTGAGAAAATTTTGAAAATGTCCCAGGTACTTCATGTAAAGTACCCCTTCGACCAGACGAACATTTTGCCGTCAATCGAGATTTCAACAAGTATCTACGAAACGTGGATTGTGGTTAAACTACGTGTTGGAGATTTATTTCTGTTTTATTAACAACAAGACTTCTACACTTTTTCGTTCCCAGGGGCCGGCAATAAGAGTTTTTCTGCCGATAATTCGTCGTTTTCCAGCCCCCGATTACAATACTTTCTCTACTTACGAAGTAAGAGTGAGACAGTTAAAATACCTTAAGTTTTAAACAGTCGACGACGTGGGGTGACAAGAGGTGGTCGCATAGAAGTCAACGAGCACAGCCCGTTTTGCTACGTTCTCCACGTGCGTTGAGATGATCTGGCGACTTGGGCGAGCGGGAGTATCGGAGAGTTGGCCGCCGCATTTGAACTCTTTCATTTCGTATTTTTTTACTCATATTCGATAGACCTTGTGTCAAACTTTTTTCGGAATGTTTGCTGTTTTCCAAATTAAATGTAGGGGCATTAAAATGTATCGCAAGGAGGGTTAACATGTCACCGATTCCTACTTCTTTCTAACCAGTCATATTATGATTGCTTCTGCGCTTACATCATTGCGCTGGCATGAGAGGCTTCAGCACATCATTAGTGAAAGTGTTATTTCTTGGTACTTCTGCAAAAGGATTTGAAGTGGTTGGTTCGTTCAGCGACCACGCCTCGTGGCGAAGCTGCGCGACATTTGAATTTTCAACGTATTTAGGACTAAAGACCGGGGTTAAAATTACAAAGGGGGCATTATACCATGAAATAATTGTCTATCTTCCTTAAAAAAGTGTAAGGCAAAAAATATTGTTTACAACATGTAGATTATGAAACCGAAGTTTTTACCAGCCTGGTCTGGGCAGCCTGTATACAACATTGCAGATGCACGCTTGGGGCAGTAACAAGATAAGCCTCGTTTGCTACAGCAAACCTTTTCGTGAATGTTAATAACACGATTTTGGCGAAAGTGTGGGTCATCTTGTTACAACGTTCCTCTGCACATATTTACAAAAGACTTGGGGCAGTAAGAAGATGAGACACTTTCAACAGAAATGATATATTCAATTTTATGATCAGCCGGAAGCTTATTGTAGCTGGTGTGTATTTTTTCATTATTGCCCAAAGCCCTTCAAATACACCGTATCCACGAAACATCTTCTCAAAACAAATGAAATGCTACAAAACATATCCATAAAAAATTTAGAGGGAACATGAAAGAAACTAACTGGTAAAATTTTAAATTCTCTACAATTAAAAAAATTAAAGAGCACTTTATAAATGAACTTGAAAATGACCCATTTTGCAACATTTTGCAATACAAATGAATTTGGTGTGAAACTACAATTATTTCTTTTCAATGATTAGAAAATTCTACTACTACTCCTCTTGCGAAATAAATCCTATCTTCAAAACATTTAAAGCCTTACAATAAAAATTACATACTTATATATTACTTACCCCAATGAAGCAAATAAGTACTCGAAGGGGCAACAGGAAGCAGTAGCGCACGAGGAAACCCAGTACCCAAATCACAGTCAATCGCCAGCTTATAAATTCATACCAACTGTTGGTGCGTGTTAACAGGTTCCATGACTGCAAGGCAAACAATTAGACATAAATACAGTAAGAAACAAAGATAATATGGATGTGCACACATTTATGCACAACCATGCTGACAAACGTGTATTGGTCAATTTAATTATAAACAAAATTTTAATTAATTAAACTAGAATATTAATAATAGAATAATATAAATAATCCATCAGATTGCAAAAATATGTATTTCAAAACCATTACAACTTCATAATGAGTGAACATTGTTAGAACAGCAAACTCTCCGTCAAGCTCAAACGTGGAGTCCTGCTGACTTCTTTGCGATTCACCGACGTTAGCAACAGTTAGAAGCATGATACTATGTTCCAAAATGGCGAGTATGCGACAGAACGCATTTTGGATTCGAAATATGAAGAGTGCTCAAGTTATTACAGTACACCATGTATTTAGAAGGTAATATGTAACAGCGATCAGGTCATCAGAGCATTCTGTGATGCACTCTGTGATAGACCAGGCATGTCAAGGTCGCGGGTAAGGTTACTAGAGCAAAAGTAAGGGTTGTGCAAATGCTACGGAGTGGCGGCACGTCACTGGATACTTGGCCCCTTGACAGTCTTTGAGAGACGTTACTTGACAGTTATTGCCACATAGTTCAAGAACACAGGATGTCTCTGCAAAGGTTCAAGCACCACGTATTTCGGACGAAAGAGTCTTTCAGCAGTAGTCCACGCAAGCCAACAAACCGTGCAAGTCGCGAAATAGGCATGACGCAAACAATTGTTTGGAACTCTTTGCGTTGACGATTACAGCAGTTGACAACTGCTCCAATACCTAGGGGATTGGTTATTTCGCTTTCCGGGCGCTGGTATGGTCATTAGTTCAGTAAGTGTAGGGCTTGCTCTTATCACGGAAAAGGGTGATCCCCGCTGGTTGGCGAGATCCGGCGCCGACCCTATGGCTGTGTTTTCCCCAATCCAGTTCCTCGCCCCAGCCGGGGGTAAGCTCTAAGCTGGACTTTACCCAGGTGTGTGGTAATGCAGTGCATGAATGTGGATAAATAAGAAGTATACAAGGAAGAGGACGAAAAGATCGCGCGCGCTCCATTACCTCCTATTCCGGCATTCGCCTGATCTTGATCGAAGAAAACCCGGAAAAAATACCGATCAAAGGGCTGTATGTTAGTGTTATTAGTTATTATTGTTAACGTTATTAACCAGTATTGTGCAGGTGCATCGCAACAACGCATGCAGCAAATTCATCGAAATCTGAGTCGTTCTTACATTAGTTTATCTACTATATTACGAGTACATACTATACAACTTTCATATGATACACTTAGCCACATCTTCAACTTTTTGCACATGCTTCTAATAGTTGCAGTTTACATCGTCTTAGGCCTTAGGCTGTAAAGGCATTAGCTCCAGATTTAGCAAAATCAACGTCATGACGCCGAGAACAACACAATAGTTTGAATTTGACAGAATTTCTTCCTAACAAAAGTAATTTATTTTAATGAAATCTGATTTGAAATATTTACGTTAAATCAACATATTTTAACGTTTATTTCGTTTTCTTTGGTAATTCTGCCACACTACTAAGCTTTGACGCTGCAGAACAGTAAATTGTACCAAGTGAAACGTTGCTAGAAATTGTCAGACACCCCGTCAATTATGCAAGCCGCGACTGTCAGTACTAACGCCATTACGATAATTATTTCCACTTGATTATAATTTCTGAAACCATCAACGTTAAAACGGATAATCTGTAACTGTAGAGGAGATGGGCGTACAAAGAATAGTTGAATGCACCTCGGCCGAAAACTAATGCCATTCGGAATATCGTGTTTCTATAATCGCAGACATTACGGATTTTACGTACTGTACTGCTGCGCGTGCGTTGTGTTGTGTTGTGTTGGCCTAGTTAGACACTTGAAAAAGTATTTCGTAGTGACCTCACGTCACCGTAAAAAGATTATTTTCACAAAAAGATGGCGAAGATTGTGTTTTTTTTCCATTTACCATGAAGAATAGAGATTAAACAAATAATAGTTCGTGATGTAAGTATGGTAATAGTTACGTTCTATAAACAAATGTTAAGATTTCCTATGCAAAATGATTGTTTCTAACAAGATTTCTATTTATGTCTTTCGCCTGCTTCTTAAGCAGTATAGAGAAAGTATTGTATTTTTTCTACCGAAAAACTCGTTTTGTGGAACATTGGTACCAGAGAGATGGCCAATTCTTGTTCCTAAATGTAGTAAATTTCTTGCCGGAAAAACTTGTAAATTTCGAAAATTCAGTTATCAGCGAAATTCGGACATATTCCACTTTTGTAAGTGTATTTCAAACTGATCTTTCAAGAACGTTAAAGAAAAAATTGATATATTTTTGAGAAAATTTTGAAACTGTCCGGAACTTCATGTAAAGTTGCCCCCCAAATTTGAAGACGGCTTTCCGAAATTGCAAAGCTTCGAGTCGGACCAGAACGACCGAGGAATATTCAATTTGGAAAAAAATCCTACAAATAGTTCTGGCGCTAGTGCTGTTTACAAACCATTGGGGCGGACTTTTTGAGAAAAAAGAAAAGAAAAAAAAAACACGAGAAAGTTTTTCGGTGGCAGGGGACAGCAAAACTTGCATTTCCGTTGATATATAATAACTTCCTCTACACCACATGTGTCCGTATGTACGTACGTATACGAGAAAGTAAAATTCGCATTTACTTTGTAATTTCACATCATTCCCACAAAGGAAAATCGAACTCTGTGTTATTAGAATCCATAATTTGCTTTCTGAAAACTTATTTATATTCGTAAATTTAAAAAAAACGTTAATAGTACAAAAAACAATAAAACAAAAGTCAAAAACATTTAAGATTACGCTGAGTGTTGTTTAGCAAAGAAGAAGCAAAAAGCAGCCGGCACCTTGAGCTCCTCGGCCTCGAAGCGCAGCGTCACCTCGTCCTCGATGATGGCTTCCACGCCGGCCTTCACGAACTCCAGGCAGTCGGCCAGCTCGAACTCGCGCTTCAGCGTCTCGAACGATCGGCTGCGCGGCAGCCCCTCCTGCGGGCACAATAAGAGTAAAGCACTGTCGGGAGGGCGAAACAGCAGTGTCAACCACGCATCTTCAAACTTTCAAACCTTTACGAACCCTTCAGCTCATGGTTTTCTTCAAGGTCAAGGAGACAAAAGTTTCATAAAATATTTTATCTTTACAGATTTTGAAACACGTTTGGCGTTATGTACTTTTACGCATTATAAGGAGTGAGCAAAATTAATATAAATTCATTTCTCTGAAAATGAAAACAAAAACAGAAAATGAAAAAAAAATTGTATCTTGGTTTTATCTTCATCAACTACCTTTTCTTATTCAACTTATATTAATGCTTTAATTATTACTTATATATTACATTAATCTAATATTTCAATAAGACGGTCCTCTACCACGTCCCCAAATGAAAAATTCATTGAACAGATGACTTCCATTTTACATGTATTTTGGCTGAGCAAATAGTGATCAGTTCACTTGACGAACACCCCAATCAATTTTTCAGAGAAGCCTCGAGTTGAAGACTCCCGCTTTAGGGGGTTGCCAGATGAAATGATGAGCCCATGTCGCCTAAATATTGTAGAAAAAAAAAAAATCCTACGGAGCCTATTTTAAACTTTTCAGGTGAGCCACACCCGCGGTCCGCCCTGGGCGCGCACCTATAACGAAATTTCACTGATTTCTATACATGTTGCTTCCACCGACCATTTTAGTTGAAGTAGAACACAAACCCTGCAAATGAAACACCTTAATAGATGGAAAGCAAAGAGTTTTCAGTAAGATAAACAATGGCTGTTCTATACTATACTGTCTACTGTGCATCTTCTGTCTTCATTGCATACACTGCCTATTGTGTAATTTCTCTCTAGTCTGACCTGACGTGGGGCTGCTCTGCCCCAGCTTGTTCAAACGCACCCTGCTCCTTGCCATCGTCCTGGCCCGGCGCTGCTTTGCCCGACACCGATACTACTCGTCATACCGCCAGGTTCGGCGTGATGTTGATATTCAAAAAATATTTTTATATTATTAACATTTATAGAACATACACAAAACGTTAACTGAAGTGCAGACATCGGGGACTTGCAGCTTTCCGATGACACCATATTTGCTGCGATTGAGTAGTTCATCCGGAAAAGGGACGTTTACATAACACATGGAAATAATACATTTGATTTTCGCAACATTGTTTTTATTTCATTTAAAAGCGGATCATTAAAGATTTCCACACATTTTTGTAGAAATGTTGAACATATTTATATGCAATGCGCTACATGCGACTATTCTCATTAGTAGGCAGCTCATTTGGCTTCGATGTCTCACGGGAATGTGGAAAAAGGGATAGGCGAATGTCCTAATGCCAAAAAATTTACATATCTGGTACGTAGTCCTCTACAATTTATTTTATAACGAACGACTTACAACGAGATATTTATGGTGCCACACACCTTGACCTCATGACTAGCGAAGTAGTTAAACAAAGAAATTAACTATCACTAAAAACACGTAGTTAAGCGGAGGCACTGAAAATCATGTGCACACAAGAGGCTAGTAGAAGAAAAGTAGAAATAAATCATGTGCCTGATGAAGAGACATATTTTTGCGAACACCTGTATGCAACAAATCAGTTGTCTCACTTCATAATTTTGTTTCTACGTTGCGTAATACAGAACTCCAATTTCATTCTCTTTGTATATTAAAATAAACATCTGACCATACCATTGTGCCCCCCCCCACATACACTCACTACAAATCACTTACTCAATGTACTCGTGTATGTTAATCCTGGAGTAGAGTTATTCCGGCATGCGAAACTACACTTCAAACCGCAGTTAGGAGGACTTTTTAACCTGAAGATTGAGCCTTTGTCACATCAAATAACTTTGAGGCCAATGATGCCTTCAGTTTTAGCATTTTGACGGGTATATAATATTTTTCAATATTTTCGACATAACTGTACACACATATTTCATTAACAAGTAATTAATTCTCAAGAGGGGTAAAAATAAATGTAGAGTCAATAATAAAGATACACTTGGTAGTAAGTAATAAAGAGCACAACGTATCTCAAATAAAATTGTGAACACTAAAACGTATTATACGAGAATATTTTTTAAAAGAATGTCGAGATATTAAAATTTCGGTGTGTACAGAATTATTCTTAACAACCAAATATTAACCAGACATCGTTGTTGTTTAAAAATTATTAAACCATGGAACAGACAAAAGATATCCATTAAATAAAAAAATCATCTCACTTCACATGTGTGAAGTGCAATACCTCTAAATCTTTATCACATTTGCCAAGTGTGAAATAGTCGAAGAAAATGAATTTAATATAATCATGAATCAATACACCATTCTAAAGACGACCAAGAAAGAATTATTACATTTTTAAAGCTATTAATGCACTTCTAGATAATTAAGTCGAATGGCTACCTGTGTATTGTCACTGTTGTTCGTACTACTATATGATGATTGAAAAATTTACTATTTGTATTTTTTTTCTCGAGTATTTGTACCAGAAATGGTTACTAATACCACGTTGTTGAGAAGACTAAAAATAAACTAAAAGAATATATATGGATAAAATTTCGTTTACTTGTTTCGACTCTCATGGCTTAACAGAATTCTTTAGGTGAAAAAATCAACTACAATAAAAAAGAAGAACAATGCTTAGACATTCTTAACAAAAGTAATAATATTGAATACTATATGATTATTATTATTATTATTATTATTATTATTATTATTATTATTATTATTATTATTACCATGTTTACATTGTTAACCATTATTGCTTGTAACACTATCAATATTTTTATGACAATGTCCTTGTAAACATCACAGCAGCAGCAGATCATAGCAGTAGATATAAAAAAAAACAAAAAAACATTGCAAATCTGCTCTGATGTATGGACAGGAACTTTGATGTATGTACTTTGAACTCTGATGTATATACAAGAACTTTGTAATAAAAATATTGTTGAGTGTTACAAGCAATGAGTTGGCTAAAATGGTATGCAATAATCGCCATAGATACAATATTTTTTTGTTAACCACTTCTGAGCATTGTTTTTTTAGCCTTTGGAATAGACCTAGTTATCAGAAGTAAATTTTGTTTCTAATAGCACATGCAAGGCGAATTACCTATCTTTTTCCCCCACCTACCTTTTTTTCAATCTTGCTAATTGCAGACATGATGAGACGTGCAGTGTACCCATATAGAAGAGAGACAAATAACTTTCATTTACCTATCAGCGTGTTTGTTGATTGATTGTTAGTGATTCGAGGCACGTCAACGACTAGGATCATTAGTCCCGTACGTGTAGTGCATGCTCTTGCTCGAGAGGTAGGGGGTGGTCTTTCCCCCGCTGTTTCAGCCGCCGACCTATCGTCGGCTAGCGGGGTTTTCCTCAACCAGGTATCTCCCACCGGCGGGGCACCGCCCAAGCTTGGACAAGCTCTAAGCTCCCGATCGATTTCGCACGTGTGGTAGTGTAGCGCATATAATTATTAGTGTAAGGGGGTGAGGATAGGCTAAGGAAGAGGAAGGTAAGATCGCGCGCTGTCCGTGGCCCTTTTGTTAGGGGTTCTACATTCGTCTGGTAGTGATGTAAGGTATGATTCATTCATAATAATTTTCTTTTTAATTTTGATCGTCATTTTTGTCTACATTGTATACGTATAACCAAAATTTCATGCTTCTTGATCAATACAATATAGTACTAATAATTAGAACTACGTTATATTTAACAATAAGCATGAACTTGCTGCTTCAGTTCTACTATAATACTGCATTGATATACCGTACTTAGTCATCAAAACTATCAGGTCTGGCACGAATTTCGCCTACGAACATTCACCCAAAATTAGCTTCAACACAATGCAGTTGAGTCTTCAAACATTTTATCATACTAAAGCCTAGCGCGCACCGGATCGCTACGGCACGGACGGACGGGATGGATGGGATGGATGGGATTTTTTTTACAAGTTGATTACATTGATTTCCTTAGAGGTGCGCGCGCTAGGCCGGGC